CAGGTAATGATCCCAGAATCCTGGGATCGAGCCCCGCATCGGGCTCCCTGCTTGGCAGGAAGCCTGCTTCTCCTCTCCCACTCCCCCTGCTTGTATTCACTCTCTCACTGTCTCTCTCTCTCTGTCAAATAAATAAATAAAATCTTTAAAAGGAAAGAAAGAAAGAAAGATCAGTTTGGTGGCAGAGACTGGGAAGGGCCAGCAGGAGAGGGGATTGAAGGGAGACGAGATGAGTGGGCTGGACCCAGGAAGGAGGGAGAATTGGGGAGAAACATGACCCCCTAATCAACCTGGGGCTCCCATGGGGAGCCAGGTACAGGGCTGTGCCCTGAACCAAGACCATGAGTTCAGCCAGCCTGGGGCCCCCGGGCCTGCCTGCGGCACTCACTGGGGGATCAGAATGGGGTGGGCGAAGGGGCACAGAGAAAACGCCTGTTCTCCTCGGCCCCTCAAGGTCCACAAAGTGGTAAACTTAAACCCTCTCTAGGTACAGCCATCGCGAGGAGATTTTCAGGTAACGAGAGGGTTGTAAATGCAAACCACTGTCAATTACAGCAGCATTATCCCGGCTTTAGGGGCGGCTCACACCTCCAGGCGTGTTGTGCCCAGAAATTTTCAGGGGAGTCTAGGGATCCAAATGTCTAGGCTGCCTGAAGCCAGGCCCCACAGTGCGTGCTGTCTGCTGGGCGGGCCCAGGTCCACCAACCTCTACAGACCCGCCTTCATTTCCTCAAGAAGATAGACCAACGGTGGGGAAGGAGGACACTCGCCCCACCCCCCAACAATCCTGCACTTTGTGCAACCCCCTCCCCCTCCCCGATCTTACCCATGGAGCCCGAAAACCACACACAGGGAGCCAGCCCAGGGCTGCCCCTTCTGGGCTACAGGACCTTCAGCCTCTCTCTCTTATAGTTTCTGCTTTGGTAAGATGGGGAGACAAACCCCCTGCCCCCCACTTTGCAGGGGGTTTTCAGGATTAAATGAGATAGTGCAGATAGAAGCCTTAAAGAATGGAAACCCGTACAAACCTTCTGCGTGCCTACTTGACAGCATCTGCTGAAATAGTAAATGTCCACACCCGGGGCCCCGGCAAGTCCTTTCTGTCATTTCCCACAGAGAAAGTTCTGCAGATTATGTCCAAGACTGTTCCCTGCAGCACCTTCTGTGAGGCTGGAAATTGTAAACAACTGAAAAGGCCATTTATAGGGCTCTGGGTAAATTAGGGTCCATGGGTGCTGCGGAATCCTTTGCTGTAATTAAGGAGTCTGGCAGCTTCCGTGCGCTGTCACGGGCAGATCCCCACCACGTGGGGCTGTATGAACAAAGCCAGCACAGACACCACCTACAGAATGATCCCATTTAAGCTTTTAGAACCCCCCGCAATCACTGTAGAGTTTATATGTCCATACTTATGCATATTTGTTTGTGGACACAATGAAAACAGCCTGAAAAAAACACACCCCAATGACCCCGGGGTGGCCTCTGGAGGGGCCTGGGATGGATGCGGCGACTGGCAGGAGAGGAAAGTTGACCTCCAGGGGCGTCTGGGTGGCTCAGTGGGTTAAAGCCTCTGCTTTTGGCTTAGGTCATGGTCTCAGGGTCCTGGGATCGAGCCCTGCATCGGGATCTCTGCCCTGCAGGGAGCCTGTTTCCTCCTCTGTCCGTCTGTCTCTCTGCCTACTTGTGATCTCTGCCTGTCAAATAAATAAAATCTTAAAAAAAAAAAAAAAGAAAAGAAAAGAAATTTGACCTCCTGCGTGATGCCCGTTACATCTGCGGCACCTGCTTAGATAAACACACGCAAAATACAGAGTGCTGATAGGGACCCAACCTGCACCGGGTCAAGGCTCGCAGGTGGTAAATTAGGACGGCAGGTCAAGGAAGCAGCCTGGTGAGGAAGGTGGTCCAGCGCCTCCTGCTGGTGCCCCCGACACGTGGAGTCTGAATCCGGGTGGGAGGAAGCACCTCAGGTGGGTAAGGGATGTCCCCTGGCATGGAGAGGGACAGAGAGACGCTGCCTTGTCAGCCTAGCTGGGCTGGGGCCACAGCCTACCTCTCCCGGCTGAGCGGTCTGCCAAGAAAACTATTGAGCTACATAAAAATCCATCCTGGAAATCCCAAAGGCATCCTTAGAATGGAGTGCGCCTTTAAATTAGAATGTAAAAAAGAAAAGAAAAGAAAAGAAAAAGGCAGATTTGCCAGTAGCTTGATTTCAGGTTGGTGAGGGTGGGGGGCCGCGACCGTGGCCGTGCGGGGCCGAAGCCCCCGGGGCCCTGGTCCTGCCCTTTGGGCTGTGAGGGGGAACCCCAGCCCCGCCGAGGTTCTATGTGGAAGTGCACGTGTTCCCATGGAAACTCTGCTCCACAGAATCCTCTGGAAATTGTTGTCGAGGAGGGGCCGCCACTCCCGCACCTATTTTGTGTTTCCTGGGCTTGGTTTTCAGGGATGATTTTCTCCAGCAAGCGCTGAGTGGAGCAGGAGCAGGAGGGGGGCTGCTGGCTGAAGCCGGAGGGAAGGGGCAGTGCAGGCCGCGTCTGAGGGGCTGCCCCAGAGAGGCCCTTGGAGATGGAGGGTGTCGAAGCAACTGACCGGTTCCAGGCACCCGAGGCTCTGCGGACGGTGACCCGGGAGGGCAGGCAGGCCCTGCTGAGAGCCGGGAGGAAATCCCCGTCAGGGCCAGGCAGGCCAGGCCCGACTGCCCCTCCGAGGGGACAAAGGGGTACCCTGGGGCAGGGTCGGGGTGGGAAGGAGTGGTGCCCAGGGCCTGGCCCTCCGGGACCGCAGGGGACTTCTATCGGCCCTAGGCCTGGGACCCACCGTTGGGGATGCTGCCATCCAGCCTTCGGGTCTAAGGCTCCCCTTACCAGGGCCTGACCTGTTCCTCTTCAGATCCTCCTCCCCGTGGGGGCGACAGAGCCCGGGCCCCTTGTTTAGTGAACCCCCTCCGCACTGTTCTGCCATTGCCTGTTTTTCCTGGAGGAGAAGCCGAGAGGAAAATGCACACCCACTGAGCAGAGAGTTCCCCATCTGTCTTCTCTGAGCCGCTCTGAGAGGTCTCGATTATCCCCGCAACCAGGGTTCAGGAGGGCACGGCTGCTGGGAGGCAGAGCTGGGGTTCCAGAGAGCTCAGCAGCCCCCAGCCCTACAGGGCTCCCAAGTTCCGTCCTTCCCTCCTTCACCTGCTCAGAGTCCAGAGTCCACATAGGGCTGCCCTCAAGGAGCTCAGTTCGAAGCCCTCTCCTCCCTAATGTCCCCTGCTCCCCCTGCGGGAATCTGCCACCCCCCGGCCCCCCACCCCTGCACCAGCTCGTGGGGCTCTCAGCCCTGGAGGTGAAGGGACAGGTGCTCCATCGTCCTCACTCCACACTGGGAGTCCCGGGATATCTCTTACCCCACCCCTCCAGCTTGACCCTCCTCTCCCTTCTCCTCCCTGCCTCTCTGCCTGCTCCTTGGACACCTCAGTACCCTCCCCGTCTTGCCCCGGGCCAGACTCGGCCACGATGGGGACAGCGGCTGTGTGTGCAGAAGGGTGGCAGGTTGGTCCTGAAGGGCCTCACAGGCCTTGGGAAGGGGTTAGGATTTCGTTCCCAGTGAGGTGGGGAACTGGGGACGGTGGGAACTGTGGAGCACGAGGAGGGATGTGATCCCAGGCAGGTTTTTATTTATTTATTTTAAAGATTGATTGATTGATTTGAGACAGAGCGAGCGCATGGGGGAGGGGCAGAGGGAGACTGAGAGGGAAACTTCAGCAGACTCCACAATGAGCAAGGAGCCCGACGCGGGGCTTGATCCCACGACCCTGAGATCACGACCTGAGCCGAAACCAAGAGTCAGAGGCTTAACCTCTTAACCAACTGTGCCCCCCAGGCACCTGCATCCCATAGATGTTTTATCTGGATGCCCACAGTTGGGTGACCTAGTACTGCTCAGGGGCCAGGGTCAGGGCCTGTGCCTTGGGCCCCTCATGGTCACTATACATGCTTGTGGGCAAGGGCCCCTCAAGGACCTCTGGGGCAGCCTGGGGGTGGGAGGGAGGGTTTTACAAATGAAAGAGTAGAAGGCAGTGGCAGAGGGACGGGGGGGGGGGGGGGGGAGAGCAGGGGAGGGAAGGAGCCGAGCCCCGCAGCCTGGGTGACTCCCCACCCCTATGAAACGGGTTCCAGCAGGGCTGCTGAGAGGGAGGAACGAGCACTGGGGGCTGCCGAATGGCTCCGTGCCCCGAGGGGCCCCCGTCTGTACAGGGCCTGAGCTCCGGCACCACCAAGCAGCTGTCCACCTGCTAGAGGAGCCCCAGGCACCAAGCCCTGCAGCTAGATCATGGGAGGAGGGCTCCTCAGACGCCTGGGCCAGGGGAAGGAGGCAGACCAGAGAGGAGTGGGGTGGGGTCCAGGTACGCCAGATGGGATCTCTGGGGAAGGAGGAGCAGCTGAGGCCTGGACGGGGTGACCAAGCATGGAGTGCAGATGGCCAGGCTGATGGGAAACCACCTCAGGGTCCTTGCTGGGGGGATGGAGCTTTTCAGGCAGTTTAACCCCTGTGGCCGGCATCTCCTCGTCCCCTGTCCCAAGAATGTCAGATCTCCTTCCTCACCCTTTGGCTCCAGGCCCCCAGCCTGATGACCTCCACTCAGCCGCCTCCCTGGCCTGTCCCTGAGCCCAGCCCAGCCTCTGCGCAGCTCCCTTCTTGCCCACCCCCCACGCCCCCGCCCCAGCCCCCTGCCCCACCTTGCACGGCTGCCTTGTGCCTTCAACCCAGCTGGGCAGGGGGCATTTGTGTAATTGGTCCTTTAGGTGTCCCCACTGATGCTCGTGCTCACAGCAGGGACAAGGGTCCCTTGCCCATGGCTGGCCTTAGAGTCTGCGTGCAGGGCAGGCTGGCGGTGAGTGAGCCTGTGGATTCTGAGAAAGTGCGGAGGGCTTGGGGATGGGGAGGTCCCAGAGAGCCCATGGTGATGGAGGGAGGGCTGGCGGACAGAGGGAAGAGCCCGGGCAAAGGCCAGATGTGAGATGCTCAGTGGGTATGGCTGGGCCACAGAATGGGGGGGTAGGGGGCAGACCGAGGCTTGAAGTGCCTCGAATGTGGGGACGAGGTGATGGGGCACCCCTGGGGCCTTGCGCCTGGTGTGGGGCCAATCCTGTGGAGGGAGGGGCCGCATGGGGTCCCGGATCCAGGCCCAGACCAATGGGCCAGTGGTTCCCATTCTAGAGGTTTTCATAGACCATGTTAAATTCACTGTCATCCGTAAATCTTTGCGGTTTCTCCTGGGAAAAGAAAGAAAGAAAGAAAAAGCAATAGGAAGAGAACAAAGTTGCACTAATTCAGTTTTAGTCAGAAGTCAACACATAGCTTCCTGCGTGGCTTTTTTTTTTTTTTTTTCCTGCGTAGCTTTAACAGGAAGGGCTGTCCTTTTCCCTACGGCCACCCCGCCAACCTCTTCTCCCCCCATGCCACCCACACTTGTTCCCTGCCCTCCAGCCCTTCAGGCCTCTTCACAAGCTCTCCCCGCCATCTGGGGGGCTCCCCCACCCCCAGCTGCTCCCCCACTACCTCCTACTCACCTTGCAAGTTTGGCTCAGCATCCTTGAGTGCCCCCTCCCCCAGCCCCAGCTTCCCCGCAGCCCACCCCTCACAGGGGGCTGCCAACGTCTCTGTTTGTCAGGTCAATGCCTCTTCCTGCAGACCTGAGGCTTCCAGAGGACAGGGCCACGTCCAACTGTCCCGGCCAGACCCTCAGGGCCCGACACAGGGCGGACAGTGACTAGGATGGCCGAGACATCCTTGGGGGTCTCAGCCTGGGGAAGCCCTGCTTCCAGTCAGGGCCAAGTTCAGGGCTGAGTATAGAAAGGGCTTTGAGAAGAGGAGAGTCAACAAACAATGCCAGCCTGGGCCCCCTGAGCTGGGGAAGGCCAAGTACTGGCCCCCTCACTTCCTGACGCCTCTTTCAAGGTGTCCGTGGTCCCGCCCACCACCCGTGGGCTCCTGTAGCGGCATAGATTATTTAACCCAGAATTCATTTAAATTCAGCGCGGCTGGTTTTGCAGAAAAATGTTACTCATCCACTTTACAGATGAACAAACTGAGATTTAAGAGGGAATCATGATCAGGTGCTACGACTTGGCCCCCATCATGATGACAACAGAGCCCTGACCAGGCCAGCCCAGGCTGGCACCAGCTCAGACCCTAGCTTCGCACTTTAGCCAGTGTCAGCCTGGGGGACAGCTAGAAGCCTAGCAATACCCCCTGTCTGGTTGGCCAGTGTCGACACTGCTCACACTGCCCAAGGGCCTACTGGTCCCAGGACGACATTTAACCTTCCTGGCAGATCTTGGGGCAGAGGGGCTGTGAGGCTCCTCGGTTTACGGAGGAGGGGCTCAGGCTCAGAGGGAGCCCATCGGCCGGGCGCTGCACAGCTAGGAAGGGATGGAGCAGGGCTTCCAACCCTCCAGTCCCCCTAACCACCAGGCCGCCTGCCTAGGGGAGAGGGCTGGGATTCAGCTGCAGGTAGCTCCCTCCTGTGGGCCTGTTAGCCTCACAGACCAGGAGAGGGGCCCGGACATACCTGCGAGAGGAGGCTCTGCGTGGGCGGCAGCCTGCTGGCCTCGTTCTGGATGCAGGAGTAGACCTCAGTGTCTCCGCACTGTAGGGCCTGCAGGAGAGGGCGAGGGTCAGAGGAACGTGGACTGAAGGGCAGGGATGGTGGCCCAGCAGCCAGGCCTCCCTGTGGATTGCCCCTGCCTGCGGGAGCCCAGGGAACATTCGGAGTCCTCTGGGCCAGAGCCTGTGAGGGGGCGGCCACCCGCCCAGCCACACCTCTGCACCTTTGCACCTGCTCTCCTCTCTCGAGGAGACTCCTTGCCCTGTCCCCCGCCTGCTCAAAGCGACCCTCTCTGGGCCCCCTGTCGCCTGCCTCATACCATCTTGAGGCTCTATTAGAGCCTTGTGGTCAGCCCAGGTGGGCCCTCTCCATGCTTCTACTGGGGAGCTAAAGGAGGAGCCCAGGTCCACTCCCACAGTCCCTGCCTGTCCTTAGGCCCTCAGGAACGTGGCTGCCAGCAGCCCCAGCCATGACACCGTGGCTGTGGCTCCAATAGGATGGCGCCCTGGGATCTGTCCTCACTCCCCCAGGGCCAAAGCTCCTTCCCCTGTGAAGGTCCTGGCCACCCCTCCTCCTCTCTAGGACTCCTTTGACACCCCACCTTGGCCTGTGCCCACGGATGACTTAGCCACCCACTGGGGTCACATACGTCTCTCGTCAGGCTGTACCTGGTTCACCTCTGGGTCACTGAATGGACAGTTTGCTTGGCGTATGTGGACAATGGCCCTATACGAGCTATGAGATCCTTGCTCATGGGTTTGCCTGTCTTGTGGCCATGCTCACTCTTGGCCCCGCTATGAGTAGCCTGATCAGAGGCCTCAGGATGGTAGAAAGAACCAGGCTTTGAAATCAGACAAGACTAAGTTCAGCTCTCAGCTCCGACACATCCCAGCCCAGGGCAGCCCTGAACCTCTCTCAGTCTCCCGATCTGCAAAAGGGGAATAATCATGTTGATCTTGCAGGTTCGAAGCCTCATTAAATGAGATATTGCACGTGAAGGGCCCAGCACAGGGCTTCGTAAATAGTAGGTGCTTAATAATTGCTGAATGATCATCAGTTGAATGATCGTCAAGGAGGGGGGCCTGATGCCTCCCTCCCCTCTCTGCGGCCCCAGCCTGGACCCTCCTTCAGACTCCGTTGGGCACCTGGGTCCCAGGCGACAAGCAAATGCTGCTCCTTGGAGTCGTCAGAGCAGAGCCAACAACAGCCTAAGCGAGAGGCAGGAACCTTCCCTTCCCGCGTGTACGTGTCATATGGATGCCGGCTGGTTGCCAAGGAGGTGGTTTCCCTGGTAACAGGCAAGCAGGGGTTGCCGAGGCAGGCTGGAGAGACAGGTGGTGCTCTGAGGCAAGGGGAGGGGGTGGAGAGGGGAGGAGGGAGGCGCGGAGAGGTAGCAGTGCGTGAAAACTCGCTGGGGAGACCCTCACTTCAAGGGCATCGCACACAGAGATGGCTCGGCAGCCCTGGGGATCAGTTCAAGGGGCCCTGAGTCGGAAAGAGGGTGGGTCTTGGGGAGGGGGGCTTCCGACCTCCCTCCAGGCAGGGAAGCGGGCAGGATTGCCCGAAGGAGAAGCCCCATCCTCAGTAGAAGGCCATGTCCAGGGCCTGCTCTGGCCTATGGGGTCTTGACGCCTGCTCAGAGCGCCAGCCACGGCCAGCAAGCCTGGCACACAGACCAGGCATCTGTCACTCGACAGCCCTGCGCCCCCACCCCTGCCCACCTGGACCCGGAGCTCCACGGTGCTGGCACCCCTCCTAGCTGTGGACGGGTCTGCTCATGTGTCTAGTCAGTGAAGGGAAACGTCTCCTTACTGACCCCTTGGTTGGGGAGCCATTCTGGGGCCCCACAGGTGGTTCCCTTCTGCCTCGTGTCTGGCTCACATAGGCTGCCTGTCCCACATTAGCCTAGAGAGGCTCCAAGTTGTCCCAGGTCACACAGCATCTTGGAGGTGGGGCCGGGATTGAGACTCGGGCCTCCCGCCCCAGCTCTGCGTGCTCCCACTGGGTCGGGCCGTGGCTAGGGGCTCTTGGGCCCGGGGGACCCCACGGGCCTCTGACCCACACTGGCGGTTGGCCAGGCTGAGGGCGGGAGCAGCTGTGGGACCAAGAGCAGGGGGGCTGCAGGGGCTGCGGGCCAATTAGCAGCTGTGGAGTGAAGCCTTGGACAAGGCCTGACCTGCCGGGCTGTGACTGCGTTCAGGGTGTGTGACCCACATCTCTGGGCTGTGACGTGCCGCTGCCTTGTCAACAGGACACCCTCTGAGGCCCTGTGCTGGACCCTCCTAGCCTTCCTTGGTGGTGATGGGAACTGCCTCCCTCAGGGTGTGCTTGCTGCCAGAGGACTGCCCGGGGCTCTGAGTGGGCTGCGGGGGGCTGTGTTGTACCAGGCTGGGCTGGGCTGGGCTCTGCTGGGCTGGGGCTGGGCTGGGCTGGGCTGGGCTGGGCT